CCTTCTTGTTTTCAACTCTATTTTTTTAAATGCCGCATTTCCATGGCTTGGATTTGACTTTTGTCATATGTTCTAAAAGCATAAAATAGATAGTTCTATTTTTATAAAATAAAATAGAAACTATTTAAAGGGTGAAGTGATCGCGTCCGGACAGTTAGTCCACGTGCCCCCTGGATAACCCGTAAACACGGTAAGTAAACGATCACATTTATCGCCAACTCAGTCCAATATACAAAGCAAAACATGCCCAGGCCCTATCAAAAACGGCCAAATGCTCGCAAGCTTTCTAAAGACTTAGGTAAGGCTCAATTCAAAGCTATCTTTTGGAACGCAGGCGGTTTAACCAAAGATAAATTCACCGAATTGAAACGTATAGTGACAGAAAGTGATGTAGACTTATGTGCCATCGTCGAAGCAGGAGCGGCAACTGAAAAACCTGAGATGCACCGAATTCACGGATACCAAACATATTTCCTCCCAAGAGCAAGACAAGTTGCATCTGGTATTATGCTAGCTGTTAAGGCATCCATCGTTACGGATATGAAAATTAGGAAATGGCAAGATGCAAGTGATAAATCCGAGGCTCTGGAAGCAAATTTGTGGTATGGCAAACGGCACTTCCGAATATTCGTAATGTATAACCCTCCTCAAAACAGACCGGACCTCACATGGTTGGAAAGGAACTGGAATGGAGAGAGTATACTATATGGAGACCTGAATGCCCCTTCCACTATATGGAGATATAATAACACTGATACTGTAGGCAGAATATTTGAAGGTTTCCTTAACTCAAACCCTCCACAATATATTCGAAATGAGACAAAACGTCCAACCTTTCTTTCTTTCACTGGCAGTACTTCCTGCCCTGATGTTGTATTGGCGCACACCTCAATCTCTGATAACATAAAGCATACCCTACTACCAGCTATAGCAGGTTTCGGACACAATATACTTGTGGTTAACTTTAACCTGAATCAAAATAATAATAGCAAGACCAAAGAACCGCAACTGCCACGATGGAATTTAAAGAAAGGAGACTGGAAGCTTTTCAGAAAATTGACAGATGAACTCATCACTGATAAATTAATCATAAACGGCAACGTAGATAAAACATATACTAATATAAAAGGAAATTTATGTAGGTGTGCCCTGAAGACTATTCCCCGAGGAACGGTACGAAAATATCGTCCTTTCTGGAATGAAGAACTGCAAAAGCTAAAAGAAGAAAGAGATGATTTTAGAAAAAGAGCTGAGAGCTCCAAAAATCATGCAATTATAAGTTTACTTAAAAGGAAAACAGCTATATTTAAAAGAAAAGTTATTTCAGCTAAACAAAACTCATTTAGAACGTTCCTACAGAAAATGGCCTTTAGAAAAGATGGAGTTAAGGCACATGAATTTCTTTCAAAAATAAATAATAAATCAAACTTAGCAAACCATCCAATAACTTTCGATGAGAAAACAATAAGCAAGCTAAAAGAAATAGCTAACTCCTTCTGCAAACACTATTCAAAAGTAAGCAATTACAAGCCAAAAAAAGACAACGGAAATCCAGTCATAAACTCCACACATTGTAGTGTAATGAGTGAAGAAGATTATACACTATTCTGGCGAGATATCCAAACGCAAGAACTAAATGATGCTCTTACTAAATCTAAGAAAGGTAAAACCGCAGGCCCAGATGACATACTGTCGGAATTTCTTATACACCTGGGGGATATGGCCAAAGAAACAGTACTAAAATTTTTAAATGATGTCTGGAAAACACATATTCCGTGTGAATGGAGGAAAGCAGAAGTGGTACCAATCTTGAAGAGAGGAAAAAAAGGAGACATGCCGGAAAATTTCAGACCCATTGCATTAACAAGTACTTTCTCCTAGCTCTACGAGAGAATCGTTGCAGAAAGACTTGAAAAATGCATAGAGAAATATGATCTAATATCTTCTAAACAAGCTGGCTTCAAGAAAAATCGAAACACAATTGAACAAGTAGCTCGTCTAACACAAGAAATAAAAAACGGCTTCCAAAGAAAACAGAACACCCTAGCAATATTCGTAGATTTTAAGACGGCATATGATAGAGTTTGGAGAAAGAAGCTAGTGAGTAAGCTTGTTGACAAGGGAGTCACAGGATATCTGCTCAAGACTATATCTTCTTTCTTACACCAAAGGTTTATAAGGGTGCGATATAAAAACGTTGCCTCGACATATCGCCAAACAAAACAAGGCCTCCCACAAGGCTCGGTGCTGAGTCCCTTCCTGTTTAACATCATGATTGATGATATCACGGAACTCACTGAAACTATTCCGGGTACAAATTCCCTGCTGTACGCAGATGACCTCGTCATTTCGGCAACAAGTAGTGACTTTAAAGGGCTAGAAAATCACATGCAACATGTACTTAAATTACTAGAGAAGTGGGCCAATGAAAACGAGATGATCGTTAATTCCGAAAAGACGGAATTCCAACTTTTTATCCTCTCTACCAAATCACACGAGATCAATTTGAACCATAATAACGAAGAGCTCAAACGCACAGAAGAAGCTACATATCTTGGAGTGAAATTGGATAAAAGACTCTCTTGGAATAAACACATTGAAAAACAAATAGAACAGGCTTCAAAACGACTTTCGTTAATACAGAGGTTAGGTGGCTCAAAATGGGGAGCAACGGAGGATGTTATGGCTCTTACCTACAAAACATATGTCCGCCCTGTTATTGAATATGGAGCAGAACTTGTTATCACTGCTTCGGACGCGATATTATACAAGCTCGACATAATCCAGAATCAAGCCCTTAGACTCGTGACAGGAGGGAGCAGATCAACCCCAATATCTGCGCTAGAATTACAAACAGGCATAGTACCTCTTGAGACACACCGGGAGCAACTGGCCATTACGCTCTATGAAAGGCTAAAACGTCTTAAGATCAACTACTGGAGTACCTATGAACCCGCACCTGAACGCCTTAAAACTCAAATTACTTTTACTAAGGCAGTGGAAGATTTGATAGAAAGAAAAGGACTAGAAATAGCTGAAAGGGAGCCACTCCCGTCATTGACACAAGTTCCATTCACCAGCCAATTTGTTGTTCACTGTGATCTTCTTCAGAATGTTTCTAAGGATACAACACCAATTTACGAACAAAAGGCTATAACCCTAGAAACCATCGGAAAACGATTTCCAGAGACAGAATGGCTCCATGTATATACAGATGGTTCTGCACGGGAAGCACGCAAACATGCCGGAGCTGGTGTTTATTCAAAGGAGTTTCAACTTGCCGCCCCGGTCGGAAAGGTAGCCACAAACTTTGAAGGGGAAGTGAAAGCCATTCTCTTAGGCCTTGAGATGTTAACTGAACGGAAAGACAAGAAAGTGGCTTTCTTTGTTGACTCACAGGCAGCCATTTTGTCCCTAAAAAATGGATATAGTATAAATCCAAATGTTCCTAAATGCCATCAATATTTGAACCAATTAAAGGAAAATGGGACAGAAGTCGCTTTCCAGTGGATACCAGGCCATTGCGGGCTCCACGGAAATGATGAAGCTGATAAACTGGCCAGAATAGGTTCTGGAATGATCCAACCCGATATTCCTCTGACCATGGATTCAACAAAAAGAATCATAAAGCAGACCCTCCAAAGTTCACTGAAAGCGAAATATGTACAAACAATTGAAGGGAAACGATGGAGTGGATTGCTGGAAGAAAGTGGCAGGATTCCTAGAGATCTCCCTAGAGGGCAAGCCGTGGCATGCTTTAGAATGCTGACAGGCCACGATTTCCTTCAGAAGCACATCCACCGCATCGGTGTAAAAGATAGCCCGACATGCCCTCTATGTTCCTTAGACATAATGACAGGAGAACATCTGGATACATGCCCTGCATTACAGGACATAAGATGTTGCTTTAATGAAATGGACAGCTATTATACTCGGAGTGCAAAATTGTATTGGACTGCAAGAGCACGCATGGCTAACGAAGCAGGCGTTACTTAGGCGTAGGAAAAAAAAAAAAAAAAAAAAAAAAAAAAAAAAAAAAAAAAATTTGACTTTTGTGCTTGAAAGTGAGGGTCCTAGACTCACTTGCATAAATTAAAATAGGAAGGAAAGTATTTTTGAAGATAATACTTGTTAGTGGTCTTTGAGACTTCCTTCTTGAGGTAATAGAAGCATCTTTCAACCGCCTCAATTCTCTTAATGTCTCCATCAACTCATCCGTATTCGTTGAAGTGAGCACCTAGACGGATTCCATCCAGATTCGGTCCCCACGGTCTCCCCTTTTTCTGATCCTCATAAATTTTATAAAGGATATTTATTTCCAAAGATATATTTATTTCCATATTTATAGTCTTCAGCTCACCTTGAAGGATCTTTAGGTTAAACAGTTGGTTGCGGCAATCATTGCCGAATACCGCCATATTGTCGTGTACTGGACGCAGTGAATGTTTCTATATCGTTGAAGATTCCTCATTCTCAGTTCTGTTCGCGTAATGGCAGAATCAAGCTCCAGGATGAACAAGAGGAGGCTAAGTTGGGAATTCCTCTAATGTGCAATAGCACACTCTGACGACATTACTCTGCTTTTCATACAGACTTAAAATGGCCTTTCTCCGTCCTCTGTGAACGCGATATTCTTCCTGTACTCTTGAGATATCCCCTTTCTGCACCCTGTAAAATGCTTTATTTAGATCTACAAAACAAGCGAAGGCTTCTCTGCTCTTTTCTATAACCTGGGATATTTGTCCCATCTCCCCTAGCTTTTGTTCTATAAGGCTTCTCAGCCACTTTTCATGCACCTTGGAATATAAATATGGAATGCTGAGTAGAGATATGACTCGATGCTTCTGACATTCATCTTTTTAGAAATTGGGATTTGGTTGGGTGCTTCTAAGTCCTTTGCGATCACTTTCTTTTTCCAGGTGACGTTAACGAGGTGTTGGAGCGATTCAAGTCTCTAAGATAATAAATTATAACAAGAAATAAATCTTGCAATAATAAATAAATAATAAAATTAAAAAATGTTTATTTTTAGCAGTTACATATTAAGCTTATAATTTTTAGTAATTCCCGGCAATGATTTCGTAAATGCATTTCTCTTCGGGTAATAGCACTGTGGTACAGTGTGCACAGATGGTCTATTGAAACCATACTCCATATTAGTGGTGATATAGAATGGGTGTCTTCTTGGATACTGACATCCGTAGCCATTTAAAAGATCTGAAAATTCCTTATTGCAATTAACACAAATGTTATCACTAGGGAAAATATTATATATTCGAAGATAAACATGTAATTAGTGATTTTAACTGAGGGAAAAAAAATTAAACTTCTGTAGTTGTGTAATCTGTTAAAACATTACTCTATATTTTTCCTTTTAATAAATATAAATATTTTGATATCCATGCTTTATTAAATATATCGTAACTTTTATTTTTCAATGGATTGTAGTATTTTAAGCTACCGGTAATGCTTTAAATGATATAAGGCCTGAAAAAAATATTGTTTCACCTGATGGTATCGATGGATTTTAAGATGTGTAAGGAAATTCTTTATTTACAATTTTTTTCTTTCGAATTTTTGAAAAAAATTCTTAAACAAATTTAATGAAAATGAAAAATGAAAATTTCTAATTAAGGCGTTTTTTCCTTGTGGAGAACAAATACAAAAATATGTCAAAAATGTTAAGTATATCACTAATAACATCAGCAAAACGGAAAGGACAACACACACGTTGTCATTTAATTTCAGTATTTAAAAAATAATAAGAAATAAACTTTAATAAGAAATAAAGCTTTATATTCTCCATTTGAGCTATCTATCGAATAAGTAAAACGAAAAACAATTCTACTAAATAACTAAAATTATACTAAAAAAAAGTCAACTGTCAACCAAGATATGGAACTATTAAGACCCTATCTGAACGATAATGAACCAGACGTGATATGGCCAACCGATAATATTAATAACTGGCTATTACGAAATGAATTATGAGATTTGTGTAATTTTACCTGGATTCGCAAATCTTTCAGGTAGTACACAGGTTTTGTAGAAGTCACTCGTTTGACAGTCCATCCTCAATTTCCTTCAAAATTTTGATAAATCTACCGTTTCATAAATAATTTAATAGGTTATTGATCTAAAAGTCACATGATTCGTTTTGTACTATTTTCAATATTTATTTTTATAGTTATATATTCAGTTGTTCTAATAAAACATAGCATTATAACACATTTTTTGGTTGAGCCTTACAGAATATTTTAATGAGTGAAAGTTAAATTTATTTTTAATAGATAATTGATTTTCAAAATTTTCTTTTTTTATCTTTTAATTTATCGATGTTTCCTACAGCTACCTCTCAGGAATTTGTATCTGTATTGTATCGTTTTATATATTACATAATGAATAAAATGTTGGGAAATTTAAGACCTAACAGCCAGATACAATAAAAAATATATCCGTTGATGGCGTGTTGGCCGAGCGGGCTAATGTGTGTGCACAGTGGGGCGATAGACAGATTATCGAGGACATGGGCCTTGAACTCGTAAATTTGATATTTAGTACAGTTCTGTTTTCAAGGCCAATGGACATGAATATGACGTCAAAATTAGAAAATTATCATGAAAAACAAAAAAAATCCCGGCTTTTTTATTTAAACCAGAGAATTTTTGAATTTGACAATAAATTAACTTCGAAAATAATAGAGACCTCATAAAACGCATAAGTTTAGATACAAGTACTGTCTACTTTGCTACATACAACAGATATTTTAAAAATACAATAAATCACAAATAACTTAAAAAGTGTATCGTTTATTAATTATAAGTATTCATTCATTATATAATAGTACCTATGAAATACTAAACATTTAATTTTATTTTTATTTAAAAAAAAATTAAAAACCATCTAAAATGATTTTTTGAACACCATCGATACTTTCAAATTTTCCGATGAAAAAGATATGTAATTTTTTCATTAATTTTAAAGATTATATTAACAATAACTGATGTATATCAAGTCATAAAATAAAGGTTCAACCAAATACTCTCAGGTTAAATATTACCAAATACTCTCAGATTAAATTTAGCGCTATGTTATTATAACGACATTTAAAAAGAATAAGGGTTAGAGACTTTAAACTTTAGTTTATTTAACGGTGTTGTGTTTGTTCATTTATTTAGATTAAATCGAAAATGAAGGATGGTTATGTACCTAGTCCTGTCATAAATATTGTTACAAGGAAATATATAAAGATTTCAACAGAAAAATTAATTTTTTCAATAACATTATTAGAAAATAAAATGTATATCTATCGAGAGTAAAACAAAAAAGAAATTATTCAATATGTACCCCTTTGGCCTTGACACAGGCATTAAATCTGCGTGGTCAGTCATCAATAACAGCACTTCTTGAGGAAAGGGCTTAACTGCTCGGACCAGAGATTGTTTGTCTCCAGTTCAGACCAAAGCCGATAGTCTACTGGGTTGAGATTAGGTCTTCCTGAGGGCCAATCAAAGGCAGAGATGAACTATGGAATGTTCTTTTGCAGCCACTGCTGAGTTGATCTGGCTTTGTGAGCTGGAGCGGAATCCTGATGGAAAACCCAACGACATTCAGCAAAATGAGTATCATTTAGAGGCTTAACAACTTGTTCCAAAATATCGTTCTGATATTTTTTAGCGGCTTTTTTAACTCATTTTTCTCAAAAATGAAGTTTTATGTTGCAATCAAAGCAAACTCCCCACCAAACCATCACTAGGGAAGATTATTATGTGAGACATTGATCTGATAGAAATTCTCATTTTCCGAGACATGATTTATTGTTTTCAAATGGGATTTATTCTGATTCGAGCAACCACTGCTTGAACCAAGCAATTTTAGAAAACCTACAAATCACGCGAAATTCCTCAAATTTTTTCGCATAAAATTCGCAGGTTTTCGATTACTCTGCCTACTGTGCACCGTTGCCTGGCAAACTGATGCATTGGTAACCGGATAAAAATAGTCACGAGTTCGCGTCCCGGTGCGGGGGAAGTCTTTTAAAATCCCGCTCTCACCCAAGATAATATATCCTTTAAAATAAATTGAGATAGATGAAAAGACAAAAGGATTTAGTGATATACATTATAAAACATTGACTCAGTGGTGCTGTGATCACGATGAAATTAATTTTTAATAATTTATATACTATGATTTTGAAAAGTAGCGAAACAGGAGCGAATAATCGATTTCCTGTTCCCACAATACATTTAATTTTGAAGCATAACTGATAGAAAATCATGAAATTGCAGCACATGAATAAAACTTAGTCAAAAATTAAGGCATTGTGGTGAGAAAAACAAAAAGATTTTTCATTATTTAGTCACAAAAATGGGATAAGAGAAATGGATTTACTAAGTGATGTTTGCAACTGATGTGTTTGTAACATTGAATGAACTGAATGAGATTGTAGTGAATGATGTTTGAAAAACGAAATAATATTAAGTCGTCCTAAGCAAAGCTAGTCTATTAGCAAAGCATAGAAATGAAGACAATTTTTCCGATTTTCCTTTGTTAGCCAAACAAATATTGCCTAAAAGTATTTTTACTAAAATTCGGGAGTATCTGCAGGTTTGGGAGGACGTGTCAATATCATCTCAATGATATTTCATGACTTTATACAAATTGAATCTTGAGGAATTGTAGTTTATTTTTGGGATTTCAAGTATTTGTCAACATCAATACCTCATAAGTTGTTAATTAATTAATTAATTAGTTAATAAATAAATAATAAATATGAAAAATAACAACAACATATAGTTTGTTTATAATCCTACAAAGCTGAATTATGTATATCTAGTGAGTTTGTAAAATTAAATGTACCTTTATGTAATTTATGTAATTTATATAATTTTATTTATTAATTTTTCATGCTTTATATATCCGTGTTGTTAAATATTGATTGTCCTTGAAACAGATTGTAATATTTTTCAATAAATAAGTTTAAAAAAATATTGATATAAATCATTTAAAAAAAATTGAAATAGATTTAAATGATGAGTGTTAAGTTACATCTAATCGACCAATTATTAGTGAATGAGGTGTGAGAAAAAACATTTTTTCTTCTATGAATATATTTTTTTATTAAACGATAACAAAAGTATTTACAAATTAATACATTCTTCCTAATAATGTAATCTTCATATATGCAGTCCCATCTCCTGAAAATAAATAAAAAAAGTTGTTTTAATATAATTGAATAAAGTAATAAATATAAGATAAAATAAAATCTTTCATTATTTTGAAAGTTTACCACACGTTGTTTTGTTGCCATTCAAACATTTAGTGATTTTGTAATTTCTATTTTTACTTTGTTTTATTTACGAAATATTTTAATGTTCAGTTAATGAAAAATCATAATTTATGTTTCTTTGCACACATTAGATTGATATGGGCAATACATGAATGGTATAATATTAAGAAATAAAATTGTTTGGTTTAAGGGCAACATACCCTTAATATCATTATCTTAATGATGGCCAAAGAATTTATGTATTCCATGGAATCCATGACCATAATAGCCATGACCATACCCATGGCCATAGCCATGACCATAGCCGTATCCTCCACCGAGACCACCTCCGAAACCTCCTCCAAGTCCACCTCCAAGTCCACCTCCTAGCCCACCTCCTAAGCCACCTCCGAATCCACCTCCAAGACCACCGCCTCCTAGAATGTGTAATGAAAGAAAAACGTTATGTATTTAAAAGAAGTAAACATTGTGAATATTTATATGAGGTGAATAACGAGGATTAGATGTACTCACCAACTGGAACTGGTACGGGCTGAGGCACTGGTACAGGAATGTTGTTGTAGACTGGAACTGGAACAGGAGATGGGACTGGAACGGGTACAGGCCTAGGGACAGGAACAGAGACTGGCTGAGGTACAGGTACTGGTACTGGGCGCTCTACGGTGATTGGAATAGGCCTGTCGACCGGTACAGGAACGGGACGAGGTACTGGGACGGGGTAGGGACGATCTACTGGTACAGGGACATTCTGAGGCACTGGTACTGGAACGGGACGGTCCACTGGTACTTGCACGGGCTGTGGTATCGGGATGCCGACCCTGTTGGTCACTGTCACTTGCCTAGAGATCAGCTGTGGGCCGGCTGCGATGCCACCTCCAAACCCGCCTCCGAAGCCTCCGCCTAATCCTCCACCCACTCCTCCACCGAGACCTATGCCATATCCTCCTCCTAATCCAGAGCCATATCCATATCCGGATCCATAACCGTATCCAGATCCATATCCGTGATAGGGGTAGCCATATCCATGTCCATATGAACTAAAGATTCCTCTTTTGTCTAGTTTTCTTTCTTGGTGCACTTCTTGTGCTAGTGAATAGCAAAAGATAGTGCAGAGTAGAAATATCCTCTGAAAATAAACAGAACAAATGATAAACACTTTTATCATCAATATCAATATCGCCATAATTTATGATATTGCCATCAACATCATGTGAGAATCTAATATGAAACGGAATATAACAAATTGCATTATTATAAAACTAGATTTTCGTTAGTTAATCCTTACTTTTCCTTTCTATCAATATTCCACGTAAAATAGAAAAAAAATAGGGGTGTTTGGACTAATATGTGATTTGATGCGAAATGAAAAACAAAAAAAGAGAATGAATTTTATGTTTCTAATCCTGAGATTTGTTTAATGAATTTTGATAATTATTATAGTAGCCTATAAAGTACTCAGCTACAACATGGTTCTTTAAATTTAAAAAATCAATTAATTTGATGTTACGAATTCAAAGACCCTCCTTATATCTGTTAAACATTATCCCGGGCCAATATATAATGAAAATAATATTTTTTTCGTATACCGAATTAAATGTTTCAAACATTTAAATTTATTATATTTGAAACAGATTTAATATATTTAAATGTATAAAAAATAAATTTCATGGATTCACACGAGTAAAAAACATCTAATTAAATTAGTGGCAAGATAACTATTTTCCTTTTCAATTATTATTATATTAGAAACGTTTGCAATTCTACAATTGTTAGAAAAGGTGAGATGGTTTAACACTAATTAACAAAATTTGTAGATTTACCGTTTTAGAAAGACGAAAGTTAATTTGGGCGAGTTTATTCAAATTATTTTAGCGTAAGAAGCTCAATTTAGGAATACTTGATGGTGCTTCTAGACATTCTTATCAGTGGGCAAAACATTTACAAATTAAGGAATTGATTAGAATACTTTAAGCTTGTTTTAAAATATTTCGTTTTTTTTTAATCATATTTTTAAACATGGACTTCAGCATTTCTTAATGAAAACGAAAGAAAACATTTCCCCCCAATTTGATTGTAAATTATTTAAGGTAGGTATATCTTTTTTTCCCAGTATCTCGCTCTCCGATAAGATGGAAGGCAGGCTGTAGATTGCTACTCACCAGAGAAGACATGGTGTGATGGATGAGATGACACCAGGTGCTGTGATGCTGGACGTTGGCGAGTGGACAGTTTTATACGGTGCTCTGCAATCCCCCACTCGTCAATAGGCCTTCTTTATGGTCTTGTTACACAATGTAACTATGTTCTAGCTAGAATTTACAGTAACAACATTTTTATTTTTATCAGATCTGTTTTATTTAATAACCTAGCTATGTAGTTTGGTTTACATTGTTTTTCGACAGCTAACTTACTCTTCAACTTACAGGGCTAATTAAGTCGAGATAGGTCGAAAAAAAAAGGTTTCCTAAACTATTATATATTATGTATACGGTAAAAATTGTTAGTTCGTTGTAAGTTATCAACATAATACGAATCGATTCGGGAATCATTCAATTAAAAAACAAATAATAAAATAATGCTAAGTATAGTAAGATAGTACAAAAATAGTATCTTAAGTGAGTCAGTCTAGACTACAGCTCAGTAGAGATAAAATGAGGTTCATAAACAAAAAGAAATTAAGAATAAATTTTTTGATAAAATGGGGAAAACAATAGAAAATATGTGGAATTTCGAAAAAATAAATAAATAAAACAAAACATTTTATATTTAACAAAAGAAGTATTGCCATAGAGTAGTTAGTATACGTATATATTTGAAGGAACTTTTAGAAATTATGTTTTTAATATGACTAGTGTTTTGTATTTTAAAAGAAAAAGAATTGTTGAAAATGGCTCTTTGGAGACGAAACGTTAAAAAATAATAATTTTTAAATCTTGTAAAATTGTTTTTAATGTATAATAAAAGACTGAGATTAAATGAGGGTTCTTAATGAAGAATAATTATATATAGATTAAATATTATAATTATTAAAAAATATGAATAACCTAAAAAAGGTTGTTTATCATTAATAAATTTAAGTTTGTAAAGATTTAAATATCTGAAAAGAGCTATTTAGTTCGGTTTCTAGTACTAAGATTTATGGGTGGACATTTTATCTATCAGAATGTTTTGAATAAAACACATTATTTTATGGCAATGAAAATTAATTGTTTGAAAAAGGAACAAGATACAAAAATGATAAAAATAATTTCAGTTATCCTCATTGATTTTTTTTTTCACCAATAATGGACGTGTGATATCTCAAAACGTTGGTGACAATTTAGTTTAAGTAAATATCAGTATTTATTTACGAAATTCCTCTTTTGTTACTGCTGTTGGCTCTGTTGTCTTTTTTATATATTGAGTATATCAGGGACTCAGACCCCATATATTATATTGTGTATTCAAATTCTTCATAAATTTACTCAAACCTCTATACATCGAAAATGGTATTGTAAATGACTTCTCGCCATGTTTTATTATTCCGTTTTGGATTCCATCCAGACTTAGCGCTTTATCGTTTTTTTGCTTGGAGATGATTTCTGTAATCTATTCCATTTCTTGGTAAATTTCTAACACCCCCAATTTCACACTTATTACATTGCTAATCATAGTTCTCTCACTTTTTAATTACTCTACCCCTTAAGCATCACCCGAGAACCCCTAAAAATGACCTCATCATCTCTCCAATATATCTTCTTCATATCCCAGGAGATAGCTGTCCTTATCTTTAAAGAAATTTTCTATTGGATGAAAACCTGATCTTGTGTTATTTATGTTTCTGAAGAATTTTCATACAAATTTTCTTCATTTTTCTCCTGTATTTCTATCTCCTACTGGCTTTTTGGATTACCTCCTCCTTCTTTGTCAACTAAGTCTTTCTCGGCTCAAATCTATTGCTTGCCGTGTTGTTCTTTGTAGGTTTCAAATCTAAGCTTCATTTTTCTGTTTTATTGCAGCCACGCATTTATGGTAAAATAAAATTTTACTCTTCTTTTTGGTTCTTCGTCCCCACAGTTCCTCTTAAGATGTTTTCCACCTTGTTCCAATTATTATCCACTGTTGACACCTCAGAAATTTATTTGTTCTTTCAGTTGTTCTGTGTCCTTCTTCCTTATATCTTTCATCTTTAACCTTTCTAAAGCCTAAGCTGATCTCTTTGGTGCTTCTTGCATACATTTTCTACGTAATCTGTCGAGGTTTTTCATCTGCTATACTTACAAAACCAAATAATGATAATGGTCATAGTAGCTATTGGTTTCCCTGTAGTTCACTCACCTTAGGTGTGTGACGCGTCACTCGTAAGATAGATAGTGTCCACCAGCACATTGTCTATCTGATTTTCAGTGTTTGATGGGAAGACCTCCATGTAGCTTTATGTGTTATGAACTACTCATCTCTTTTAATATATTTTTTCATTATAAAACTGTCAGCTCTCAGCTCATTGTCGTTTGACCCTTCGTGATTGCTGTGCAGTCGTATGGTTGATCTAAACATTTCTCCCCATTCAATTTTCGCATTTAAGCCCTCTAAAATCATCTTCACATTGTACTTTTGGAGCGAGTATCAAATTACGGACCTTTTTTTAGTTACGTACGTTATTTTTCATTAAGGAAAAGTCCTATGAGTAAAACGTAACATTGTGTAATTCGTTTATGAACTTCAGGCAAGCATATGATTCTGTCATAAGGGAATAATGTAATACACAAAGGGGGATATAAAATACATAAAAGCATGGACCAAGAAATCTGGAGGTCTGAGACTGGAAATGAATGCATACATGATATGCATATAAAATATGTACACGCGGGTATTAAAAACAGACTAGATTACTGAAGAGAGAATGTGGATCTGGAATTGGAGCTTCAAGAGCTGCGATTATTTGATTACCTGGAAATATTACGGTCACTTGTAGAACAGAGTAGTAAAACCTGTAAAGCAGCATAAAATCGATATATCTTCAATGTACGGAGAACTATTGAAGAAGTTCAATGTGGAAAGATTAGGAAACTAATTGTAATGTAAGAATTCAAGCACGATCCATGGCTAAAGAAAACAAAAGGATCCTCCACATAAGGGAAAGAATAATAATTTGTAAAATTGATGGGACAATTTCAATGGAAGTTGAGGATGGAAAGCCGCGGGATAGAAGAAAGTGGAGAAAGCCTCGGCTCAGATTATTGGATGATGTGTTAGATTGTGTTATCCCTAGATTGACGCAGAGACTCGATAACTAATGATCGATACTACAATCAAAACACAACAATCTCGAAGGCGACATAAAGGAGATGGTATAAAACAGTGGAGGTGCTTCGCAGCTGACAAGGACGATTGGAGGAAAACGTTAGCCGAGTCTATGTTTATTCAAGGACTGTAAAGCCGAGCAATGAATGAATGAAATATCGGTATATACGATATATATATATATATATATATATATATATATATATATATATATATATATGTGTGTGTGTGTTGCGTGTACAAATGACCCTAAATGCAGAGCACCAATACAAGCAGGAGTATCTGAAGCTTTTGAAGTTCGAACGGGTTTGAGGCAGGGAGATGGACTCTCACCTATGCTGTTCAACGTAGCCCTTGAGAAAGAAATAAGAACAACATCACGCGAAGATAGAGGGGTTCGTTGGAACGAAACATAAAATCCTAGCATATGGCGATGATATTGCTGTCCTCAGAAACAACCAAGAGGATATTGATAGATTCGCTCGGACTTTGTTAAGAGAAGCAGAGTAAATTGAGTTACATGTCAATGAACAAAAAAAACAAAATATACGATAGTTAGTCTAAATATTCAGCCTGATAGCATGATCTGTGTGCACTCATTAAGTCATTCCCGAAAGTAGATATATACATACATATGTGGCACGACATCCCGTTACCGAGACTGGGCTTCCTCCAAGAGCCTCTTTAGTCTTCTGCTGCAGCTCTCCAGTTCCGTATACCAAGCAGGGTTCTCGCATCATAGGCCACGTTGTCCAACCACCTCGGCCTTCCTACCCGTCTTGCGAGGTGCAGCTCCTCCATCATTATTTTCTTGGGTATTTCAACGGGGCTCATTCTGGCCACATGCCCTGCCCACCTTAATCTGGCAAGTTTAATATATGTGACTACGTCGATGTCTGTATAAAGAGAACTGAGCTCCCTATTTTTTCTTTTCCCCCAGACATCACCCTCCTTTACTGGACCATAAATCCTTTTGAGGACACACTCGAACACACTCAGCTTCATCTCATCACTTTTCGTCATCGTCCAAGCCTCTGAACCATATGTCAAAACAGGCCTTACAACGGTCTTGTATAGAATCAGCTTGGTCTTCTTTGAGAGATACCTACTTCTTAAGAGTCGGCCAAGTTTAAAGACACATCTATTGGCAGCCGTAATCCTTCTCTGTATTTCTTGAGCCATGTCATTTTTGCTATTTATTTCAGACCCAAGGTAGATAAAACTTTTTACTCTCTCTAAGAGCCTACCTCAAATGGAGAGTTCAGATCCACCTCACCACCAACTCTCATATATTTAGTTTTCCTTTCATTGACTTCTAGACCAAGTCGTCTTGCAGCTGCTTCAAGGGCTAAAGTAGATAGATTCAAATATATCGGCTCCACAATAACCTCAATAAATGATCAATTAACGAAGATAGACCAGCGAATAAGTAGTGAGAACAGGGCTCCCTTCTCTCTTTCAAGGGTACTGAAATCCAGAAAAATCCCCAGAAATCTCAAACTAAGGGTGTGCAATGCCATGGTAAGGGCAGTTTTGCTGTACGGCTGTGAAACCTAGACTCTAACCGGCACTCTACAAGGAAAATTGAGAGATTCGAAAGAAAAGTCATCCGTATGATAACAGGAGCTATATGGGATCAGATGCCTTAACACATGGCGGAAGAGGAACAATAAAGAACTGCTAAAAGAAACTGACCAATCAATTTCTCATGATATGAATTCAAAGAAGGTTAAGGTGGGCGGAGCATTTAGCTCGAAGCAATGCATAGGACGCCTTTAACCAACAATGAATACCAGAGTAGGAGGCAAGAGGCCACCTGGGCGGCCTAAAACCAGATAGATTGATACGATGAACAAAGATACGGCTGAGTTTCATGCCAACTTGGAACTTGGAAAGCAGTAGCCCTAGATAGGAAGAGGTGGAAAAGGCTTTTAAATAATATGTTAAAAGATTAATTGTTAATGACCTATTTTTATGAGACTATTCAATGAATAGTTTGTCCACTACAAAATTGAGTACAATTCACAGTGCAACCTCACATTCCTATTATTCCTTCTCGTTCCCTCAGATAAAGGAGTAAATACTGGAGGGTATCTACTAAAGGCTGGTTCAGGCGCCTACAAGGTCTGTAGAGCCAACTGAAAAAAACCAAAAAAAAACATATATGTATATATACAATAAAGGATATATATATGTATATATATATATATATATATATATATATATATATATATATATATATATATATATATGTGTGTGTGTGTATATACAATTAAGGATTATAGCCATATTTTTATTTTGTTTGAGCATCGTAATAAATAC